AACGCCGTAGATGGGCCTAAATAAAATGTTTTTAACTGTGTACCAGTTTAACGTTGAATATTATTTATGATTTTAACTTTATACACTATAATTACTAAACTACTATAATTGTGTAAGATTTAGTCAACTTTATATAGTATATATTTGGATATATGTTACTTTTTTTTAGTGAAACTTGTAACTATATAATCACGCGACAAATAATATTAAATAAAAATAGCATTCCTATTTATCTTTCATATATTATTGTTAAAACTTAGTTAAATCAACTTACTAAATCCGCCTTCTACCGGCACTTGGAATGTTCGGACTTGCGGTAGCGCCCTCTTCTGGTATAATTCTCGCACGGCGTCGTTGTTATCCAACATGGAAACTACAAATCATAAAAATCTAAACATTAAAGTAATCGCCAAATTAAGTAGACTCTAATGATACATTAGGTTATTTTCGACCAAAATAAAAACTTACATACTCTTACGCACACATACATGTTGTATAAAAATCCCCAGATATTAAAAAAAACTAAATAGAAAATTCCATAAGCAACTGACATTCAAGTTTCATTAGAGAACTAATTTTCGTAAACGACAAATTTTACTTTTACATTCAAGAATTGTTTTATTAGACGATAAGTCTAATTTTAGTGAAGTTAAATCTATTACACATGAAACCTTGGTTCTTCAAAATCAATATTTTCTAGAAAACCTTAGTAAAACAAATCTCAGGAAAGGATTTAATATTGTTTGATTAAATTTACAGCTAAGAGTTCCTGTAAGTGTCACAATAAGTAGATGTGGTAGGAAAGTCGTTATAAAAAGAAGATTAAAAACGAAATTTCACATGAATTTCCATCAATATATCCTAAAAGGTCTTCACTTTCACAATATAATTAAATGACAAACATCGAATTCTTAAAAATGTAGGCGTTGTTCTTGTACTTGATTTTCATCAAGTTATATTACACTGAGTGAAATTTTTTATTCATTCTGTTTTCGTCGTTCCATTTTTTGTTTTTTGCTCTTAAGTTCCATTGTAAATTAAATTCTTCTTAAACTTCCTATGCATTTAAATTTATCCTAACAACTTGCATGTATAGGAATAAAATAAGGCGTGACGTTTGTTGTGTAAAATAATCCAACAAACTTAAATTAAAATGCTGCTGATCTGAGCACGTGTACCCGTATTTCCTGTAATGCAGTTTAATTTGAATTGCTTACTGGATAGTTACATACAAGTAGTTATTTTGTTCTAAATTATTTCTAGTTAACTGAAAAAATTCATTAAACACAATTTATTCATTTTTCAGAAAACAATGGCAGAAACTGGTAACTATCTGAGGTTTGTTTTGATATTAAGCACAGAGCCACACAATGGGCTATCTGTGCTCTGCCCACAGGTATCGAAACCCGGTTTCTAGCAGTATAAGTCCGCAGGCATATCGCTGTGCCACTAGGAGGGCTACACGAGAGCTATCTGCGCCAGCCGTCCCTAATTTAGCAGTGAGAGACTAGAGGGAAGGCAGCTAGTCAACACCACCCACCACCAACTCTTGGGCTACTCTTTTACCAACGAATAGTGGGAGTGACCGTAACGCTATAACACCTCTACGGCGATACGACTTCGGGAAACCGTCTGTTGGAAGAATGTCTGACGTGTGACATCGGAAAAGAGTGTTCGTTCAACAGCGCCACCTTCAGCCCTGGTGCCAAGTTTTATGTTTTGGACTGCTTGGGCCCTGGGGTGCCTAGAGTGGAGCTGAAAGCTGTCGATGGAAACAAACTAGGTAAGACGGCCTGATGTGGCCGGGTGGTTAAGGCGTTCGATTCGTGACTTGAGGGTCGCGGGTCCGAATCACCGTCACCGAACATGCTCGCCATATCATTTAACGCTGAAGAGATGCCGCTGTCCCGAATTATTTGGTAATGTACTAATATAATATCTACAAAAGAAAAAAAAGTGACTCTATAATATGAATAAAGTCGTCAGCTTTGAAAAGTTTAATTCAGCACTCTCGAACAAAAAGTTTCTGAGAAACACATACGTAGAAAACAATTACAATTACATGGCGGGTAACACTGTAAAAAAAAACAACCCAAAAAACAGGTATAATAAAGCTGTAAGGTAGCAGAAAATATGGTCATTGTTTAGGTTAAACTATGTTCATCGAATGTAGCTTTGCTGAACCCTTTATTATAATATAGCAGACCTATTATTAAATTAAATAAAGTAAATGACACGAGTAAATTAAATGAAAGCGAAGAATGTTTTATTTTGAAACAAAAAATTCTGTTCTTTGTGGTCTTAAATCGATTAATTCCAAAATACAACTGAAGACAACTACTGAGCTCTTTGAGATGTCAGAGGCCATTATGAGTGCAAATGACGAAATGCTAATCAACTTGGACAACAGCTTGATGTAACAGTTTGGATGCTCGATAGGATGGCTGCTACGTTTCAAAGGGTCCTATGGAATAAAGAATATAAAAGTGGAAAGTGAAGCAACAAATGCTGATCAAAACGCAGTTGTTGCCGGTAAAGACGATATACGAATGGTTCTGGAAGGATATTAATTGGTAGACATTTATAAGCCAGATAACACTGGTATAGTCTACAGGTTGGGGCCTAATCATTCCTTGACAAACCAGTTAAGCTCAAGAAAATCTAAAGATCGGATGACAGTTGCTATGTGAAAGTGGTAGTGAAGTTACAGCCATTTGTGATTGCGAAATCTAAGCACCAAGATGCTTTAGAAGTGAATTCAATCCTGCTGCTCATAGAAGATACATATAGAAGAAGAAGGTCTGGATGATATAAGCGAGTGTCTGGAGGATCTGAACCGAAGGATGCATTGATGAAGAGAAAAATTCTTCTTCTTGTGGACTATGCTGCTATTCATGCAGCACCAAATCAAGAACTCTCTAATGTAAGACTTTACCACTTGCCATCAAACACCATGACAGTGATACAGCCTATGGATGCTGGCATAATCAGGTCATTCGGAGCTTACTACCGTCTTCAGATGTTTTAAAAGTACATACAATTTGTTGAAAATAACGATCCAGAAACTGTAAATGTACATGAAGCATTACAAATGACAAGATTTGCCTAATCCAGCATTACTATGGAAACTATCTGTTGGATATACAAGACTGTTCAGTTTATGAGTTATTATTTAGTGATTTAATATTTAATGATTATTTAGTTTTCATAATAAGAGTGTTAAAAGTTAATAAATTATAAACGATAGTTATGACAAGTTTCGTTACGTAACTCTGTACGACTGAGTCGTACGTTGTGCATGTAGTTTAATTGTTGTACTAGGCTTTTGTAATATCGTGGAAGTTTCAAGTTTTTCTCGTTATTTTTAATATTGTTGTTACTAGAGGGATAGTTATTTCTAGATTTTTCTGTCGCCTGTTATAAATAAGTGTAGGTAAAGGAGTAACAAAAGTTAAGTTAGTGAAAGTGAAGTTAGAATGCGTGATTGTCAGTTTAGCCATAATGGGCGATTTATAAAGTGAGAGTTTCACAGTTTGTATTGTAATAACAGAGACAAAGAGAATAATGTGTCTTATCAAAGGGTGTTCTAAAGTAATTGAACCCCACTGTATGGATACAACTGTAGTAACCAACAGTTATAGTGGTGATTTTGAAATGAGTTTCACAGCTTGTATTGTTACAACAGAGAAAGAGAAGAAGAATTCGTCTTGTTAATAGGGTTCTAAAATAACTAAACCTGCCTGTGTGGACGTTTGACGTAAAAGAGAATTATTTAAAGCTCTGGATACTACTGTGGTAACCCACGAGGTAATTTAAGTGAATTTATCATTGATTCGATTTTGATAAAAGCGTAGAGAAGAAATAATGCGTCTTGTCAATTGGATTCTAAAGTAACTGAACCAGCCTGTGTGGACTTTTGACAAAAAAAGGAGAATTATTTAAAGTTCTAGATTCAACTGTGGTAATCAGTAGAGTAACAAATTATTTTGCACATACGTTTGACTTGTTTTAAATATATATATTATTTTAAAACATCCTGTATTTAAAGAATTACTGTTGCAATAAAGATACTGATTTGGCTGCAAATGTTTTGCGGGTCTCTGCTAGTAATGATAATAATAATAAAATGTTTGTGTAGTAGCATCTTAGCGTCTATGCTTGAGTTTTCCTTTCATTTTTAATAAGGCGCGAGGAGGATCTTTTTAGATGTTGACGTAATAACATACAAGTCTCTGTCCTGATCGTGTTATAGCTTTAGTTTAGCCTAAACTCAGACTTCTATTACAACAAATCTGGCATACTCCTATCCATTTACTGAATATTATTTGATCATTCCTTGGCTTACCTTTTCCCCCATCAAACATTGCAATACTTCTGAAGAGTTTTGCTCACATAGAAAGGTAGACACAGAATAAAACAATATTTCACCAACTTAGAGACGAAAGTGATCTTATACTATTCCATTAAAATTCTAAAAAAGACGCATATTTTGTCTCCAAAGTGATCTCATTCTAGTTCTAAACTTTTGTTGTTGTTTTATAAATGTTGAATTACAGTATATATGATACACACACACACACACAAGATTAGTTTTTCTGATTATAAATTATGATGTGTTGTTTCAATTTAAAACACAAAAATATTTATTTGCTGTTTGTTTGTTTTTTGTCGAGATAAACCACTTGATAGAAGCATTATTTATTATTAGCAGATGCCGGTTGAAACAATTCAACGGCAATTTTCTTAAAAGTAGTGATGAATATATATAAAATGTGCAATTAATGTAATTACTTGGATCAGAGTGTATACACAATATGATTGTCTAGTGGATCGTTTACAGCTGTCTTTTGTCACTCCATGTGTTATTTCAATAAGGAAAATTGGACTGTATTTGTTTATAAGATAGGGGACTGACTGCAGTGCATTGTTTGCTAAAATGTTTGGATTTCGATGCAATTTGTGCATCCAGCACAATAGAACGTTCAGGTTCGCAAAGTAGCCAGTGGATGCCGCCGTTCCTTGTCAGTTTTACTGAGCGCAAGAGATGGCCACTACCGAAGTGAGCGGTTTTTGACAGTTGTCATTTCTATACGAAGTGTCAAAGAGGAGATATTCAATTAAATGTAATTCATACAACATGGTAAAATACAATCATGCATATATATATATATATATAATACGAACAAGAATAAAATATATACACATATATACCTAATACGAACAAGAAAATATATACACACATATATATAATACGAACAAGAAAATATATACACACACACACACATATATATATATATATATAACTAACTAGAAC